TTCTGTTGTGATTTGGTGATATATTAATAAACTGAAATTAATTGATTATGTTTCCTGGGCTTCTCCATATATTTATTTTCTAGGCTGAACCTACTGGAAGGAGAACCTGAGGCAGACACAGAATGAGCTGGCTAGCTAACTAGCTAACTAACTAACTAACTAACTAACTAACTAACTAACTAACTAACTAACTAACTAACTAACTAACTAACTAACTAACTAACTTACTTACTTACTTACTTACTTACTTATTTACTTACTGTCAGTCAGTCAGTCAGTCAGTCAGTCAGTCAGGCAGGCAGGATGGATGGATGGATGGATGGATGGATGGATGGATGGATGGATGGATGGATGCATCATGCATAGGTCTGTCACAATAACAAATTTTGCTGGGCAATTAACTGTCTCAGAAAATATTGTGATAATTGATAATATTCTGATGCATGCTCAATAATCCAGGTAGAAAAATCCAAGAAAGTTCAAACTGGTCCTCTGGACATTCAAAAAAAACAAAAAACAAAACAAAGCAAAAAAAAATGTAGAAACGTTTCGTCTCTCATCCAAGAGACTTCCTCAGTCTGAGGTGCTGTATTCAGCTCAGTCTCTTAAATAGCACCGTCTCAGGGTGGATCAACCAGTTTGCTGCTGACAACCAAAACCAGCTGATCACATGCTCAAGAAGGACCATCAGCCTAACAATGGATCATTAGCACACTGATGGCTGCTTACTGTTCACAGAGGGCTGAGTGATACTAGCAATCACAGCATTGTAAGAGGGGGACAATTGAACCCGGAGGCCTCCACCCCTGTTTAATGATGGACGGTTTCTTTTCACAAAGATGGCCTCCTTTACTCCTCTCTCAAACCATTGTTCCTCTCTGTCCAGGATGTGAACATCTTCATCCCTGAAAGAGTGACCGCTGGCCTGGAGATGAGTGTAGACCGCAGAGTCCTGGCCTGATGATGTTGATCTTCTGTGCTGGGCCATCCTTTTGGCCAGTGGCTGTTTAGTTTCCCCGATGTAAGACTGATCATAGCCCTCCTGACACTGAACAGCATACACAACATTACTCTGTTTGTGCCGGGGGACTGGATCTTTGGGATGAACCAGTCTTTGCCGTAATGTATTTTGGGGTTTAAAAGCCACTGGGACGTTATGTTTAGAAAATAAACGTCTCAGTTTCTCTGATACGCCCTCAACATATGGAATGACCACTGGTCTGGGTCTGGGTTCCTCCTTTTCACCTGATGGCTGACTGGAGTCCTGTTTGGGTTTCTTCTCTGCTTTCAGGAAGGCCCAGTTAGGATATCCACAGCCTGTTTTGTGTAGGATTTCTCCTTCTGCCTGGCTCCTGAGCTAGTGGGGACGCTGTCTGCTCTGTGATACAGAGTCCTGATGACTCCTAACTTGTGCTCCAAAGGGTGATGGGAGTCAAACTGCAAATACTGGTCTGTGTGGGTGGGTTTGCGGTACACCTCGGTTTGCAAAAGTCCTCTATCAGAGACTGAGACCTCACAGTCCAAGAAAGCCAACTTGTCATTTTTTACATCTTCTCGTGTGAACTTGATGTATTTATCCACAGAGTTGATGTGGTCAGTAAAATGTTGGACTTCCTGAGATTTAATTTTAACCCAGGTGTCGTCAACATACCTGAACCAATGACTTGGTGGTGTCCCTGAAAAGGACGTCAAGGCTCTCTTTTTTACCTCCTCCATGTACAGGTTGGCAACAATAGGAGAAACTGGAGACCCCATAGCACACCCATGTTTCTGCCTATAATATTGCTCCCCATATGTGAAGTAGGTTGACTGCAGGCACAGTTTCAAGAGTTGACACAGTTGTTCTGTGGAAAGCGTGGTCCTGCTGCTCAGAGTGGTGTCTGATTTTAATTTTAAACTGACCACCTCTACTGCATCATCAACAGGAATGCACGTAAAGAGTGATGTGACATCAAAAGAGACCATTGTTTCATCAGTCTCCATGATGACATCCCTCACCTTATCCACAAAGTCCATGGTGTTCTGTATGTGGTGTTCTGAGCTGCCAACTAAAGGGATGAGTACAGACGCCAGATATTTGGAAACATTGTAAGTGACAGAGTTAATCATGCTAACGATTGGTCTTAAAGGTACACCTTGTTTGTGGATTTTAGGTAAACCATACAGACTAGGTGTGGCCTCCCCTGGGTACAGTCTGTGGTACAGAAAACGGTCAATAGCCTTGTCCTGCTCCAAATTTTTCAGGCAATCTATTAACTTCTTCTTGTAACCACTTCCTGGATCTCTTTTCAGAGGTTCATAAGTGGTTAAGTCACTAAGGAGTGTCATAACTTTCTCATGATAGTCTTTCTGGTTCAAAATCACTGTGCACCTTCCTTTGTCTGCTGGGAGAATGATGATGTTTTTGTCCTTGCTAAGAGTGGTGAGTGCATCCCTCTCCTCTCTACTGATGTTGGAAGGTAGTGGTTTGGCATTGCTGAGGCAGGCTGAAACTTTGAAACTCCCATCACCCTTTGGAGCACAAGTTAGGAGTCATCAGGACTCTGTATCACAGAGCAGACAGCATCCCCACTAGCTCAGGAGCCAGGCAGAAGGAGAAATCCTACACAAAACAGGCTCTAGAGCAATGTGGATATCCTAACTGGGCCTTCCTGAAAGCAGAGAAGAAACCCAAACAGGACTCCAGTCAGCCAACAGGTGAAAAGGAGGAACCCAGACCTAGACCAGTGGTCATTCCATATGTTGAGGGAGTATCAGAGAAACTGAGACGTTTATTTTCTAAACATAACATCCCAGTGGCTTTTAAACCCCAAAATACATTACGGCAAAGACTGGTTCATCCCAAAGATCCAGTCCCCCGGCACAAACAGAGTAATGTTGTGTATGCTGTTCAGTGTCAGGAGGGCTGTGATCAGTCTTACATCGGGGAAACTAAACAGCCACTGGCCAAAAGGATGGCCCAGCACAGAAGATCAACATCATCAGGCCAGGACTCTGCGGTCTACACTCATCTCCAGGCCAGCCGTCACTCTTTCAAGGATGAAGATGTTCACATCCTGGACAGAGAGGAACGATGGTTTGAGAGAGGAGTAAAAGAGGCCATCTTTGTGAAAAGAAATCGTCCATCATTAAACAGGGGTGGAGGCCTCCGGGTTCAATTGTCCCCCTCTTACAATGCTGTGATTGCTAGTATCACTCAGCCCCCTTTGAATAGTAAACAGCCATCAGTGTGCTAATGATCCATTGTTAGGCTGATGGTCCTTCTTGAGCATGTGATCAGTTGGTTTTGGTTGTCAGCAGCAAAACTGGTTGATCCACTCTGAGAAGGTGCTATTTAAGAGACTGAGCTGAAAACAGCAGCTCAGACTGAGGAAGTCTCTTGGATGAGAGACGAAACGTTTCTACATTTTTTTTGCTTTGTTTTGTTTTTTGTTTTTTTTGAATGTCCAGAGGACCAGATTGAACTTTCTTGGAATTGATAATATTGTTTGAAATTTAACAATTAATAGTAATTGTCAATTTTAAGAAGAAATGTTGGTTAATTTTTGTGTGTAGTACATTTTTTGACCACTGGATGGCAATATAAGACTGTTTGAACAGAAGGATGGATAGTGAGGGAGCAGCAGCGTCTCCTTAAGAAAAATGGGAGGGAGGCCCCTTGACGTGACATGGGCTGTCTCTGTTCCCATTTTTCAGTTCTCAAAATTGCGGACGCTCAGTGTGGTTTGAGCTCTTTACCATAGCATTTTTCACACAAAACTTTTAATAAAAAAAAAAATCATTAAACAAGTTCTCAGCTTCTTTTTGCCAAAAAAAAAAAAAACAACTTTTTGCCGAGAAAAACAACTTTTTGCCAAGAAAAACAACTTTTTGACGAAGGCACGGGTTTCAACCGTGAATTTTGGAGCTTTGACAAGACGGAGGTTTTTTTCCCAAGGTCGACCTGTTAGCTTAGCTCGTAGCTTAGCTTCTCAGCTTAGCTGCTTTTAACAATCCAAAAACGTGATTTTGGATGGTTAAAACAGATTTTAAAGAGAAAGGGAGGAGTCAGTGAAGATCACCGGAACTGAACCTTTTGTCATCCAGTGTCTTCAGTAGAAAGAGAGAGACATGAAGAAATGATAAAGCCAATAAATGAAAATGAGGTTGATAATTTTCATTCATCATGCGATTCATTGATTTATTGTTTATTGCGACAGGCCTAATCATACAAAATACCAGCGTGAGTCTACTGTCTGGAAAGCATCATGTGCATCAGCTTTTTATTTTATTTGTTGTGAATAACTCAGCAGTTAGCAGCAGCCATGAGTTATCTTCAGGAGTTATCTTCAGGAGGAGTTATTTTCAGGAGGAGTTATCTTCAGGAGGAGTTAT